CAGCGAGAAGTCCCCCTAGGGGGCGCGCTGAGCTCACCCACCCAGCCTTCGCAGCCTCTCAGGCCAGTTTGACTTAGCAGCCAAATCCCTCCTCACATCACAGAATGTGAGGCTCAGGGCCAACAGGGAAGCAAGTCGCTGGGCCAGAACGAACTCCCCCGATTTCCTTTCCCTCCAAATGGGCAGGGCGCGGGACTCCTTGCTCGCTGGACAAAGAGCTCACCAGATTCCCAAAGCCGGTTTGCCCTTCCTCTACTTCAGATCAGAGGGGGATTCAGAGGGAAAGTTCTTTGGGGCGGGAATTGGAATCACAGAGGAGGCGGCTCCAAAGGAGGGCGCGGCCTAAAAAGGGGAGGAGGAATTGAGAGATGGGAGAGAAAGGCAAGGGGGGGGGGGGGCGGGGCGGGGGAAGGGCCAGAAAACCGTGGCAGGTACAGTTTTGAGGTTGTTTAGTGTAGTCCTGGGAATCCTGTCTGCTCAACACTGAAACCAGGAATCACTGGGCTGGGTCATTTCCTCGGTGATGTCCTTAAACTCATTACCCCACACCAAAGACAGCCAATGCCAAGACCTTTGACTAGCAGCCCACCAGGTACCATGGAATCTGCTGGTCTGGGGCAGGGCACAGGAATTAATTCTTCATGGGGCCTATAATAATCTTACCTCAAAGGGTTGCTCATAGGATTAAACTAGTTACTACATCTCAGATGCTTAGAATAGTGACAGGGAGAGTGTAAACTATCATTGATAGCTCCTATTATTACAAAAGTATTCATTCGTTGATTATCTGTTCCCCCTCTAGATTATGAGTCTCCTGAGGGCAGAGAGTATGTGTTTCATTCATCACTGAACTCTAGCACCTGGCACAAAGAGGCTATCAATAAATTACTTGTTGAACAAATAGATAGATGACTGATTGAATAATTGACTAGTGGCTATGCTAAGACTCTCTCCTATGCCACATAGGAGGTATATTTGTGGAGGTTTGAGGAAGAAAGGCTATGTTGGGAAAGGTGGCACAAAGGACCCCTGTTGTTTGGTACATAAAGTGACTTGCTCTACCGTTGGAAAATGGAATGTTTTTGGTGATTTTCTAAATGGACACATTGAAGACTGTCAGACAACTGACCTGAAATTAGAAACTGAGACATATCTAGCTATAGCAGTATTTTTATCTTTTGCAGTTAGTGAGTAAAGCAGGATTGGAGAGAGGGCTGAAGTGGAAAACTCAAAAATAATGGTGGCAAATATAAGTGTTCCAAGTAAATTGAAGTGTGTATGGAGGAGCATAGTCACCTTCAAAGGGATTAGGATGCAGGCCCTAGATTAACAATAATGTAATCCACCTCTCTGTTCTAATCATAGGGTTTTTTATGATCTGCCCTAATGTCCCAACATTTGGGGGGGGGTAGGTGTGCAGATTAGGCTCTTACCACTACATTCAATAAACTTGTATTTATGGAAAATCATCCTGTTAGGGCTAGAAGGGACCTTAGAAATTATTCATACATTTCAATCCATAGCTAAACAACTAAGAATCAAGCTAGCAAAGGACTAGGGGGCTTTGGGATTCTCTGACCTTTGTACTAGATCTTGCAATCACTGAATTCATTGTGCCTTACTCCTTTAATCCCTGCAACCTTCTATCCCAACCCCAAAGAGAATTAGAAAAATGAAGGGATAGGAATAAGAAGGTCAGCAGAGGGTATTGAGAAGTGAAGTTCATCAATAAACATTACTTCACCCCCTCTTACTAATTCCAAGGGAAGGTAGCTAGAATGGCTTCCCCCATGGTATCTGGCAGCCTTGCTCTATCCACATAAACTCCACAGGCAAAGATTTGAAGTACAGCCAGTCTGAGTCTTGGCAGAATACCTGTGATCTTCCCAGAGCACAAGAGGTTTGGATGCTGGTCAGAAGATGCTTCAAGGCCATCTCTCACTCCCCTTCTAACCCCCTCTGCCCTGGGAGACTGTCAAAAAATTATTTTTCATAGTTTCTTACCTGCTGGGATCTGATAAGATAAAATTCTTTCTAATTCATCCCCTCAGAATAGAGCTACAGAATATGAAGCCATTTACTAATAGTTCAGTACAGAATTGGCTTCTTAGCAACGGAATATCCCACAACTATCATTGCAGTCCCCACAACTACATTGCAGTCCTCTGGCCCCTTTTGTTTAAATGTCATCCTTTTTGGTGTTTTGGACAAAGATCACTAGGAGCAGGAGCCATTGACCACTTTTTCTTTCGCTGTATAAATAATAAACTGTTTGAATCTAAAAGTGATTTATTATATCTTTACTGGTGAGTCAATCAGATCTTGGATTCTTGCTTTGCCTTGTGTGCTTAACAGCTGCTTGCTGAGAATTTCACATTTCTGGTAATTAAAGCACTCTCCCCTATCACTGAGGGCATTGAGCTGTACAAAGTATATGTAGACAGTTTACTAACCACTATGCTGTACACCTGAAAAGAATATAAATACATTTTGAATGTCAATTGAAAATAAAAATTTTAAATTGTATCTTTAAAAAAGATATGTAGATCAAAATGGCTTTTTCCTGTCACAGTTCATCAAAGAGAAAGTCAGCCCAAATTCTATTGTCTGGGACTTACACTCTGGCTGTACATTATTGATAGCTAGTTTATTAATTCTTCTAGTTGCTTCTTTTTGAGCTGACTGGCCTTAAAGAACAATATCCTCTTACCAAGTAGCAGTATGGAATGCTAGATCAGGAATATGTGTCTGAGGAGGATCATAGAAATGGTGGAGTGGAGTTCACCTAAGACAAATCTCACAATGTAAAAGTTGGCCCATTTGTCATTCTGCTTATCAAGTTCTAATTATATTCAATCAGCATTTACTATGAATCCCCAATGTATAATCTAGTAAGAGCTTCCTATTCTAATCCCTGCATTTCCAGTAAAGGCTTCTATTTTCAGCTACCAGTATAACTCAAATTCATAGATCAAAAACTACTTGGGAAGAATTATAAAATTAGGTACCTCACTAGATTATAAATATTAAGAATACTTTCATCTTAATATGACCACACAGAAATGAGAGGAGTACTGGGAACATAAAGAGTGGTCAATGAATGCCTCTTGAATGACCAGGCCAGACTAGCCACAACTTCAATTTGTATACTGTGCCCAACAGTTATAGGAAGACCATCTTGATCCTTCACCCCTGGGAATTCAGTAGAGATGCGTCCTCATTAGCTATTATGCTATATACATTTGCAATATCCATGTAATAGCCTACTTGGTCTCTGTTACTCCTAACCTTTGTAACAGACCATCTCTCCCACCTACAGGTTCAGCTTCTCTGAGACTTTAGGACCAACCCTATTCCTATGTGGGGGAACACAAAGGACCCAATATACTCTGGCCTGGCACATTAAATGGAGCCAGCCTTTCCAAACATTATACCCCCAAAATTATATAAAATCTTAGCTGTGGGTAATAGCCCCATATTTGGAGAGCCCAGGTTGCTCTCCAGTTAAACCATTAACCCCAATATTTCAAATTCTAAACTCTTTTGTATTTTAATCCTCTTTTCGGCTATAGTTCCTAAGGGCTCTTGATCTGACAACTTGTTTCAAGTTACTTCTCCAGCTGCCACCCTTGACTGGCCTGCTTCACTTCAGCTTACATGCCCCCTTTAGTCTACAATCACAACTCTGATTCACAATAAGCCTAAACCCAGCTTTAAGGAATAGCGTAACCCTCCCAGGCACCTCCTACAGGACAGCAGTTGAACAGCAAGTCAGCTTACTTCTGACCTTACCCTGATCTTAATACATTCTAGCACTGGGATTTTCTTTGGTCTTCCTTAATTCTGACCTTCTGTCCCAACCCCTGAACTATGCCATGTTTCCTGGGGCCTTATACCTTAATTTCCTTAATCCTTTTTTACTATATACTGCTTCTGAAACTAGTCTTCATGATTGGATCTCAATTTCCATATGCATACATTCTATCTGCCCAAATCTCCAGCTATTTTCCCCAAATCATTTAGACAATTCCAGTAATTCATGGCTATCTTTATTTTAATCTCCCCCCCCCCAATTTAAATTCCAGTGAGAGACAACAAGAAGTCATTAATACATATATGTTTATTTAATTCATAATATAGCATTTTGGATGGATTGGGATGTTTTAAGGGATGAGGCTGTGTAATCTACAGGTGCTCAGATTTCTATACTAGGAGAAAAGATATTGGTCCAGAGCTCCCAGTACAAACAAGCCATGGGTAAAATATTTGATAAAAAATATTCCAAAAATATGTCCGGTTGGTGTGGCTCCGTGGTTGAGCATTGACCCATGCACCAAGAGGTTGTTAGTTCCATTCCCCCTCAAGGCACATGCCCAGGCTGTGAGCTCGATTCCCAGCTGGGGATGTGCAGGAGGCAACTGATCAATGTAGATGCATCTATGTTTCTCTCTCTCTCTCCCTTTCCCTTCCTCTCTAAAATCAATAAAAAACATTAAAAATATTCCAACAATAGTATAATAAATATTTTAGCCAACAACAACACAGCATATGTATGAATGGCAGATTAGACTACAAAAAGCAGTTTTACTTGACCTGATGATAGTCAACCTGGCCAACCTATAATACACAGCCAAATACAGCTCAATGGATCTAAGGCTGCAATTGGCTTTAGGAATTGAAACAATTGTGGGAATGGTTCTTGTCTGTCACATTCTCCATTCTGTCAAGGAAAGAATATAAAATATTGGAACTTATCAAAAAGTTAAGCCATGGATTATTCCATCCAGGTATTCCATGTATAAATATGCAAACCATGGAAGCTTAGAAAATTCACCTAGTGTATTTCAGCTAAAAAGAATATGTAAATGATTTTGCTGCAATCTGAATGTCACTGCATCAAAAGTTACACAATGGAAATACATTATCAAAACAGATGCAGTTACTCTTACTTACAAGTAGTCAGATCTCCAATGTGGCATTAAAGTTTCATATACTCGAAACAGGTTTAACTTTATTTTTTATTATATTTGTGCTTTCTTCAATAAGACAGTATAAAAGTGGAAATAAGCATAAATTGCAGACAGAACAATTTGCTAGTAGAAAGGATTGTTGGGGAATAAACTGAGTAGAGCAACAGCAATGGGAACTTGTGGAGTTACCTTCCTTGATGTTAAACAGGTCCTACTTCCTTTGTTCAACTGGGTTCAGCTAAAGGTAGTCAATGAGGTCTTTTAAGATTCCTAGCATTACCAGTATCCTATGAAAGTCTTAAATTTACTTAAGTAAGTATCTGGAACTCTCCATACCCCCACTGAGTACTTTGTCACCATGGTGTCTCTTGGAAAGCAATTATTATTTCATTATTTGGCTCAGCAACTTAATTGCTTATCCCAAGCCCAGTTTCATTTCCTGCTTTACTCAGTAGGCTCAGCTCTAAGTGATTTTTGGTTGTAACCAAAATTTAAATCTACTTTCAAAGAACAAATTTGAAAAATATTGAAAAGAATGGTGCCACATACTCCAGACAATTCCCCAGGTCAACTTCCAAAGAGCTTTTGAGGAGGACAATACTCATTTACACATATAAGTCGTGGGACATCTGCAAAATATAATCAGTATAGCCCAAATGGAAAAGCCCAAGCTTATCGGCCCAGGAAACAACAAACACCAATATGGATATCAATGTATGTTGATCATTCATTCATTTGTTCAATAAACATTAGGCAACTACTCTGTTCCACACACTAACTCAGGTGTGAAAAATACAACAAAAACAAAAGACATAGTCCCTGCCCTCAAGGTATTCATAGTCTAGTGCAGAAGTTGATTGTTATACATTAAATTTGTGTGTGCATCAGAATTATCAGGAAAGCTGGTTAAAAATGTAAAATTCCACCCATGTGTCCAGATGTTCTAATTAAGTAGATCAGGGCTTAGAGCTATGAATCAATTATTTTATCAAACACCAAATGTAATTCTAACAAATGGTCTAAGGCCCACACTCTGAAAAACATTGCTATCTAATATGATTATCGCTGAGGCCATAAGGATGCTCAGGGTGCCATGGGAGCTCTGAAGAGAACATAACTCAGTCTAGAGGATGAGAATTAATCTGATTAAGAGGGGTGAAAAGTATGCCAGGCTAGGATCAAAAGAAAGATGGGGAAGTTGAAGCTCAGGGCACTAAAATCCAAAGGGTACAAAAAATGAATGGTGTGGGAGACCCAAAGACATGGTACAGGAAATTGGACTGAGGTGGAGGCGGAGTGTTTTTGCACTTTTAGCAGTTTCATTCTATTCCCTTAAGAACAAGTCCTACCATTTACTTCCTGTGGGCATCAAAAATTTTTATAATGTCTCTGTTTCAGGCTCAAAGAACAACTTGTGTAAATAGTTAAGCTTGGCTAGTGTAACTAGTGTGAGGGGAAAAGTGACAAAAAATGAAGCTGGGAAAACACACAGAGACTTAAAAAGCCAAACTCTCAGTAATTGGGACTTTCTACTGAATGCTATGGAAGAAAGGGCAGTGAAAGTTTTTATTAAGGGAAGAAATAATTTGTTTAAGAATTGGGGGTTATGCCATAAAGGAGAGACCAGAATAACTTAGAAAGGAAATGCATACATTTTTAAGCACCACTACACTCTACTGGGGCAGGGCTGGGCAAGGGAGTGGGGAGAAGCATAATATTCGTTATACACTTAACTGAACACCACGGGCTGTGCTAAGCAGTTTACATGTGCTTTTTTAAAATTGTCACCTGAGGAGAACAAAGATGGCGGCATAGGTAAACACACCTAATCTGCTGCCGTGCACAACAATTTCAAAAATAAAACTATAAAATAAAGCGTCTATGACTCTAAACCCAAGGGAAAGCTGGCTGAAAGGAAGCCCTACAACTAGACTGAAAGAGAAAGAGGAGAATTCATGGCACAAGCGCTGAAAAACTGAGGTAGGGGGTCGCAGACACGAAACGGGCTGGCTGCAGAGGGAGTTGCTTTCTTCAACCCGAAGAGAGACAAGCTCCCAATCTCTCTGAAATCCAGTTTCTGGAGAGAGGCTAGACTACCTGCCATTGGGTCAGAAAGTGAGGATGCCTTGCTTGCAGAGCTTCGCCCAAGAATATTTGTTTGCTGTGCTGTGGTGAGAGACCTGGGGAGACGTGGAGAGACATGAGATGCAGAGACGCGGGGACGTGGATTAGAGCAGTGGCTGACCAGCAGCTATCACTGTTGGCCACACCCCAGCCTAGTGATGCCTTGAGACTCCGCCCATCACAACCTACAAACACACCCAAGCTCCAAGCAGCGGCTTTTGCATATGAATGGCCCTCTAGGTTGCAGTTTGACCTAGCAAAGGAGAAGAGGACTGTGGTTCTCACTGTAGCTCCTGCAGGGTGGCCATAGACAGTAGCTGAATCGCACCCCATTGGAGATCCAGAAGCCAGTGTTCCTTGTGCTCAGTTTTAACCCCTCACACCCTTAAGTGACACATTTCGGAGACGGACTCAGTAAGCACCAAAGCCCTACTGAAACAAGGCATGTCTCCAGAGCAGTTCTTCCTTTGTAGACACAGCAGGTCCTCACAGACAATTGGCCTGGAGTCAATTCCTCCCAGTATACCAACAGCAATCAAGGCTTAATTACACAAGACTTTGCACTCAGCCCACAAAGGGATATAGCAAAAGAGACCACCTCAGGTGATTGGGGATTCTGTTCTACTGACCCCTATAGGTCACCAACCACACAAAGCCACTCCATCAACACAGGGAGGCAGTCAAAATGAGAAGACACAGAAGCATGTCACGAATGGAAGAGATGGAGGAAAGTAAACTACGGAATGACACAGAATTCAGAATCACATTTATAAGGTTACTCAAGAATCTTCTAAAAACCTTTGAGAAACTTGATGAGACCTCCAAGAAGCTTTGTGAGACCTTCAAGGACCTTAATGAGAATACCAAAAAAATGGAAAAGGACCAGCCAAAAATTAAGCATAGACAGTCTGAAATAAAGAATATACAGAAACTCAACTATAGATCAACGTACCCCAAGAATCAAACCAAGGTATGGAACATAAGGAAGCAAAAATCACCCAACCAGAGAGGCAAAAAGAAAGAAGAATCCAAAAGTGTGAGGATAGCATAAGGAGCCTCTGGGACGGCTTAAAGCGTACCAACATCTGGATTTTGGGGGTGCCAGAAGAAGAGAGCAAGCAGGATATTGAAGGCTTATTGGAAGAAATAATGACAGAAAACTTTCCCTACCTGGTGAAAGAAATATACCTACAAGTTCAGGAAGCACGCAGAACCCCAAACAAGTGGAATCCAAAAAGGACCGCACCAAGACACATCATAATTAAAAAGCCAAGGGCAAAAGACAAAGAGAAAACCTTGCAAGCAGCAAGAGAAAAACAGCTGTTACCTACAAAGGAATACCCATATGACTGTCAGCTGATTGCTCAACAGAAACTATGCAGGCCAGAAGGGAGTGGCAAGAAATATTCAAAATGATGAACAACAGGAACCTACAACCAAGATTACTCTACCCAGAAAAGCTATCATTCAGAATTGAAGGTCAGATAAAGAGCTTCACAGACAAGAAAAAGTTAAAGGAGTTCATCAACACCAAACCAGGATTACATGAAATGCTGAAGGGTATTCTTTAAGAAGAGGAAGAAGAAGAAAAAGGTAAAGGTAAAAAATTATGAACAACAAAAAGACATCAAATACATACCTACCAACAAGTGAATCTAAAAATCAAGTGAATAAAAAATCTGAAAAACAAAATGGACCGGTGAATACAATAGAATCAGGGACATAGAAAGGGATTGGACTTACAATTCTCAGGGGGAAGAGGGTCTGAGAGGTGTGGAAAGAGATTGGACAAAAATCTTACACCTATGGATGAAGACAGTGGTGGGGGTAAGGGCATGGGGTGGGGTTGGGAATCAGGTGGAGGGGAACTATTGAGGGGGGGACACCTGTAATAATCTGAACAAAAAAGACTTATTAAAAATAATTATCACCTGAGGATATGTTTATTGATTTTAGAGAGAGAGGAAAGAAGAGAGAGAGAGAGAGAAATATTGATGAGAGAAACATTGATAGGTTGCCTCAAGTACATGCCTTGACTGGGGATTGAACCTGAAACTTAGGTATGTGTTCTGACTGGGAATCAAACCTGCAACTTTTGGGTGTATAGGACGATGCTCTGGGCCACTTGGCTAGGGAAACATGTGTTATCATTTTAAATCTTTTCAAAAACCTTGTTAGGTAGGTATTTTACAAAAGAGAAAACGTCTCAGAGAAATGAAGTTCTTGCTCTTGCCCATACTGCTAATTAATTGCAGGGAAACTAGGATTATTTTAGTACAAAGGCTATGAGCTCCCCATTAGAGCAAGCTACTTCCTAGAATCTTACTGAGGTTGTTCATTTCCTGATTAGCCATCTGCATCTGCCTCCATCTTGCTTTCCATGTTAGTTGAACAAACAATACTAAAGTGTCCTTTGGGGGATTTATATAGATACGGTGTATCTCAAACAGTAAGCCATTTGACAGCAAGGACTAGGTTTTATTAGTATTTCAGCAGCAGGGTGGTACCTGGCATCTAGTAGTTCCTTGACTGAATTAATGATTGAATATCCACCAAAGTGGTAGAAAGAGAGGAGAACTTTGGGCACTCAAGGCTCCAATTTGGGAGCTTGTTACAGCTACAGTTTGGTACAACAGTAATGTTTTTATAACTCCCAAAAAGTACAATAGACTCCTAGAAGCAGACTCAGCTCCTAGAAAGAAGACAGCTCTGGTTCTGACGTCCCCATTCCAGCAGTGAAATTGACAATGATAGTAATAAGGCCTGGGATGAAGTTTGTGAGTTTGCAATGAAGGGTCAGCTAAGCAGATAAAGAGTGTAAACAAGATTGCAAAAAGGAATGATTATTTAACCTGTTTAAGAAAACAAACTGTTCTCAACCATTCCTGCCCCCCCCACCCGCCCCAGGCATTCTTAAGAAAATTCAAGTACATTTATATGCAAATAGTTGTATCCATAACACTCCATTCTGATTTAGTAAACAAAGCAGGTTCTTTAAAGAACCTCCATTTTTTTTGGCATCATTTTAGTGACTGTATGTACTTGAGAGTAAAAGAAAACCTATTTCTGTGATAGAATTTTTAACAATTCAAGCAAACCTCCTCTATTAGGTAGCATCAATGAAACTGTGCTACATGTAACACTTCTACCTGGATCAATTTTCTATCTAGCAATAGTATCTCATATGCAGTACTGTCCTTCAATGTCTCCTAATCCAACTTAGAGCTCTTCCTACCATCTATATCATTATTGCATGTGAATATGTGTGTGACAGTAGGGAAGAAAAAAAGGATGAATGGAGGGAGGAGATTAATTGACTGATTTTGATGTTCCCTATAGGGGACAGAAATTAATTGTATAACTTATTTCCCCTTCCAGTATATTTTCCACACAAATGAGCAAATTAAGTTGATTATGTATATAAAATCTAAAAAATGAATAAATTACATATATTTATTCATTTTATAATTATATATACATATATGTTTTCTTCATAATAAATTCTTGATTATAGATTTTTATTGTAAGCTATATATAATATGCAATCATTTAATACTTTAAAATTCTACTGGGCCAAATTGGCCAGCACTAAAAAAGCTGACACCCCTCTTTCCAGCTAGCTAGTCCCTTGTTCAGAGTATCGTTCTACATTATTTACCTAGAATTACCATAATTCCTTTTAATATCATTTATACTTATAAATCACTGGAAATTTTTAATGCTCTAATGACAAGAGAGGTATTTTCTAATTTGTTCTCCAATGGCTTGAACCCAGACTACTCAGATAATTTGTTCTAAGAAACTCAAAACATTACTTCAAATATGAGCTTTAATGCACAAAAATTAAAGCTATAATATCTAGTTATTTTGGATGCTTCAAATGAACTTTATTTGGTATCTTGTATGTTGGACACTAACTGAAGTTTAGGAGGGGAAGAACTGCTGAAGTGGAGAGCCAGAGAATTGTATGCTTTCTTAAAATTTAATGGCAAGCTTTCATCCCAGAAACATAAGGGGATTCTTGAGGCCTGCAGTTGCATTCCTGACGCTCAGGGTAATCAATAAAATCTGGGGCAGGCAAGCCAGACAGGATCATTAGGGATTTGTTCCAGATTGTGAATGTTGGACAAACTGGAAGAATAAAGGTCACATCAAAAGTATGAAGATGGAGAGAGTTAGCTGGATCATAGAAAGACAGCATATTGTTGTCATAATCCAGAAGGACACCCAGGCGTTTCAACTGTGGGGGCACATCCACCAGCATTTCCTTGTTGTTATGTCTCACAACGAAGTTACTATTGCATCGAGAGAAAACCCATGAGGAAGCATTCTTGCCAATCCATTCATTCTTGGGTGCTGATTTATAGGCAATGCCAATTGCATACCTGTGAAACAGTGGAAAGAAGAGAGAAATATTTATTTATTTATTTATTTATTTATTTATTTATTTTAAAAATATATTTTATTGATTTTGTACAGAGAGAAAGGGAGAGGGACAGAGAGTTAGAAACATCGATGAGAGAGAGTCATCGATCAGCTGCCTCTTGCACACCCCCTACTGGGGATATGCCCGTAACCAAGGTACATGCCCTTGACGGGAATCGAACCCGGGACCCTTCAGTTCCCAAGCCGAGGCTCTATCCATTGAGCCAAACCGGTTTTGGCGAGAAATAAATATTTAGTAATGATCTGGGTTATGTTAGATACCATACAGGATGTAAAAGAAATAGAATACATGTCTTTTCCTTTAATAGTTTATATTTAGATCCATAATGTTGATACCACTAGAACTTTAATAAGTCAGAAATTGAGTGCTATAGTAGTTTCCAACTCCTAGTTCAGTATATTTTCCATGATTTATTTTTAAAAGCTAGCACATTTTTCTAGAAGTGGTTTTCCTTGACTTACTGGTATTATGTCTGTGCTATACAACTGGATCTCCAGGAACCTAACAGGGGAGAGAAAAGAAAAGAATAGTGAGATCCACTCACCATGTTGAGGAAGCCATGACTACCTCCCAATAGTGGCAGCCACTGTCAATGAATATATTTCCTGCTGCTCCATAGCACCCTGTGCCACTAAACCTTTCTGGAGTATGGCTCTTCTTCAGAGAGCTTTCATCCTTCTCCATCTGCAATCCATCATTGGAGATCTTCAACTTCTTATGAGTCATTTTGGGATCCAATTTAAAGGGTTGGCCTGAAAAAAGTAGAAATAAGAAAACACATGAGGAAATATTTAAGAATTCTTTGTTTTCCAGGACCATCACTAACAGAGAACCCTTGATATGATGGTAATTCTTGGGTCAGTGCAAATTGGCTATTTTTTTTTTTTATCATATTAAGGAAGCAGGGCAAAAGTCGCCATATTCAATAAAATAAGAATATGCTGTCTGACCAGTGTAGCTCAGCTGGTTGGAATGTCATCCCATACACAGAAAGGTGGCGGGTTTGATTACTGGTCAGGGCATACAGCCAAGTTGTGAGTTTGATTCTCTCTCTCTCTCTCTCTCTCTCTCTCTCTCTCTCTCTCTCTCTCTCTTTCTGTGTGTGTGTGTGTGTGTGTGTGTGTGTGTGTTTCCTCTCTCTAAATCAGTAAAGAAACATATCCTTGGGTGAAGGTTTAAAAAATAATATGCTGCCCCCTTCATATATTATCAAATTAAAAGTCTTAAGAGTCTCAAATATGTTTACTATTTTACTTTATTTCAGTAGGTGATTTGGTATTTGACTGGATTTCAATATTTGAGGTGAAAGAAAGTGAGGGAATTGATGAGATCATTGCTGCTTATTAGCAGATCAAAACTGAAAATAACTCATGAACAGGACTATTTTTTTGCCCTCTTACAAATGGGATATAAATAATATAATTAGGTAATTTCATTAGAGTGACTATTGCATCATCAATGGTCAGATAAAATATTTGTTGTCTAGGATTATTTACAACATAGAATTTCTTATCTTCATATGACAAATCCAGGTACTAGGACCACCAATTGCTGTGAATGGCAAGAGCCATATTGTATAAAATTTGTCTGTGGCAGACACTGTTGGTAAACACAACATCCATTTCCTACTTTTTCTTTCTTACCTACTCTCACTATGGAGGCCAGAAAAGCTAAATACTTTAGCACCTAGTCTCCCTTATTGTTGGGGTGGCTAATAAGATGTACCGTATTTTTCGGACCATAAGACGCACTTTTTTCCCCCCAGAAGTGGGGGGAAAAAGTCCCTGCGTCTTATGGTCCAAATATAGCCTACACATATATTGTACTTTAAAAAAAAAGTTTTTTTACTTGCCCGGCTCTGTGTGGTCTCTGTGTGCTTGCCCGGCTCTAAAATGGTTCTAAATGCTGCTGTTTACTTTACAGGGTTGATTACATGTGTTTATGACTGTGATTTTGGGTTTTAATGCACATAAAATATTTTAGGACACTATTTGTTTCAGAATCTTTTTTTCTTCATTTCCCTTCTCTAAAAACTGGTGCGTCTTATGGTCCGGAGCGTCTTATGGTCCGAAAAATACGGTAAATAGTTGGAAGCAGAAGTCAGATAGGATGTGAGAACCTTTTGGGAAAGCGAATGTTTTTAAGATAAAAGGGATAGCCATCATGTATACCAGCCCTTTATCTTTCTTCCTTTCTTGAAAGAAAATATGACATCTATAGGTTGCAGTAGCTCTGTTGTGACCATGTGGCAAAAAACTAGTACAGAAAAGGACAAGGAGCCCGAGTCTTTTACGACATCACAGAACTGATGCAACACCGTGAACTACATATCTTCAAACCTCTTGTTATGATATTTTTAAAAATATATTTTTATTGATTTCAGAGAGGAAGGGAGAAGGAGAGAGAAATAGAAACATCAATGATGAGAGAGAATTATTGGGTGGCTGCCTCCTGCATGCCCCATACTGGGGATGAGCCTTCAACCCAGGCATGTGCCCTGACAGAATCAAACTGTGACCTTTCTGTTTCATAGATCAATGC